TCACCTCCCTGAACTTGGCTTTGAGTTCAGAATTGCACTGCAGGTCACCGTGCTGGTGGTGGGCCGCTCATCCCGCGTGGCTCCCGGAGGCCGGCCCGGGCACCACTGGCACTTTGAAGGCCTCAGGGCCCCTGCCCCGTGCCCCGCCCGGCGCGCAGCTTAGAGGGAACATTGCGCCCAGGGTAACGACTCACACAGGTGCGTGTGAGAAAAGCGCGCGGGCCGCACTGTCACTAAACTTTGATATCCAGTGGGGGCCACAAAATATCGACCCACGGGCCGCAATTGGCCCGCGGGCCGCGAGTTTGAGACCCCTGCCCTAGGTGCCTATGTTGAAAAATGTCTGACCAGGCAGCTTATCTGTGTTCAGCAGAAACTGTCACTTATGTTTGGCAATGAGATTGGAAACAAATGGAGCTGGTTTAAGACCTCCCTCACCATTGGAGCTTCTTATGAAAGGTGAGGAAGGGGCAATATGATGCTAGAAGTGCATTAAATTCTGCAAGATGTGGATAGGGAGACACTTTTTCCTTTCAGAGTAGCAGAACCTGGGATCCTCCCATGAAGCCGATCGGTGGGGGCCTCAGGACAGACAGACGAAAGTACTTCACAAAATGCATAGTTAAACTATGGCACTAACATCCACAAAATGTCGTGGTGGTCACCATTTGGACAGCTTTAAAAGGGGATTAGACAGATTCTTAGAAGATACGGCTGTCAATGACTATTAGTCCTGGTGGTTCCATGGTACCTGCAGTTTCAGAAGCAGTCTGCCTATGTACAGCAGTGGCTGGGGAACATGGGTGGGAGGGTGCTGTTGCACTCATGTCTTGCTGGTGGGGTTCCTGTGGGCAGCTTGTTGGCCACAGTAGGAACAAATGATGGACCTTGATTTGATCCAGCAGGGCTCCTCTTATGTTATATAATTTCCAGCAGAAGAGAAACACCACCAGCTTTAACTCACTGAAGGTGCAAATAAGGTTAGATCAAGCAAGTTTCAGCTTGCTTAGCAGAGCCTTGTAAACCTTGGGGTCCCTGTTCCTCTCTTTCAGTGGTTCATCATCTCCTCGCTACTTAACCTCGGTTCTGAAACAGAGTCAGGGTCGACCTATCAAAGGTAGGTGTGATATCTGTTGTTCTTGTTCTTGTGATGTGCCATCAAGTCTTCTCCAACTTATGGCAGCCCCATGAATAAAAGCCCTCCAGAGTGGCCTGTCCATGATGGCTCCATTCAGCTCTTGCAAGGTCAAGGCTGTGGCTTCAGACCATCTCACATTTGGTCTTCTCTTTTGTCTTCTGCCTTCGACTTTTCCCTAACCCTCTTTTAACCATCCTTTGCATTGGGGAAGTGTCAAAAGTGTTGGTTCTGAGCCAGTGCAAATGTCATGGCTGAGTTATGGCTTGGCCGTCATCAAGGGGGTTTGGGCTTGCATGTTCCAGTCATGCTTGGAATCCCTCCTGCCCATCCTGACTTTCAAGGGAATCTTAGCACCCATGGGGAGGAGGGAACACATAAGCTCAAAGTCCGTTCATGATGGCCAGACCAGAGTTTGGCCATGGCATTTGTGTTGGAGCACTAACGGCGGAAAGCGGGACTGCTGCAAGTCATGGTTTACTTCCAAACTGGGGTTTGCACTGGCAGCCATAGGTCAGGTGTGGCATCTGAACTGTGTTCTGATGTGCTCCTGATGTTGCTGATGATGTTGTCTGAGGCAACTGCTTTAGGGCATAGCATAACATTTACTCCATGCAAGTATAAATGAGTGAGTTACTGGGTTTGGGCTGTTATAAGCACCAAGCCTGAGGTTAGAGCTGCTTAGGAATCGAAATTAATATACATCCAACTGTGCACAGCTGCTACTGTGCAGGAGAGTGCTTTACAGGGAAGAACTTGAAGAGGGACAAGCCCCCAGCTGTGGCCAGACAAGGTGCCCCGTGCAATCCTGTACATGTTTATTTGGAAGTAAGCTCCATTGAGTTCCATGGGACATACTCTCCAGTAAGTGTGCTTCAGGTTCTGTGCATGGCTACCCATAGACTCCGCTGGGGTTCCATGGGTCTTAACTGAGAGCAAGCATGTATAAGAGCAACCTTCATTTTCTAGCATAGAAATGAAAGCTCTCCTCCGGCAGTCTTCTCCTCTGGCCTTTTGCACTCATGAACTTTTCAACCTGATTTCATCTCTGTATTTTTCATTTCCATTCTTATTCACTAAAACTTAACCCATCTCCTATTTATGATGTAGATCCAGGGGAGGCAGCCTGGTGACCTTCCAAGGTGTTGGTGGGCTACAGGTCCTGTTGGCCTCTTCCAGTCTGCCCCTGATCAGGGACTGTGGGAGTTGTAGTCCAAAACATCTGGAGGGCATCAGGTGCCTGCCCGGATTTAGATCCTACTTTTTTTGGCATCACACTTTCCATTCCTGCTTCTTGCTGTCTAGTTGTTTTTCTTCTGCTTCTGCTGCACCTTCTAACTTTGTGACTGCATAACTAAATGCATAGTCTCCCAGACCTTGTTGGACCAAGAGGTACATCTGAAACACTTGAGAAGCGGGCTGTTGTCAACATGGCCAGTCTCAAAACACTCCTTTCCTAGCAGGAACTGGCACCTGCTCAAAACTTTAAAAAAAAACACAGGGGCAACAGGCAACCTGGTAAGCACTGGGGGCGGTGTCCTGTGTTACGCAGCTGTCCACAGGTACCACTGGGGACCCCAGATATAGAGGAAGCTGGGGTGCTTCACTTGGGCCATGCTTTTTCATTCTCAGTCTGCTTTGGCAGAGATGTAATCTGGAGTCTTACTCGGGCGCGCAAGCTCACTGTGCCCCCTCAGCTAAGACCTGGCATTTACTTTGTTCATTGCATTAAGCATTGGTATGTTTTATCATCCTGCTCCACACCCCCAAATGAAACCTTCAGGGGAACATTTTCTTTTCTTTTTCAGAGTCTGATATTGATGCTGCTACTGCTATGATGCTCTTGAATACTTCTATTGAACAAGGTATTTTAGATTGTAAGTACAAGTTGTTTTGACCCTATTTTAAAAACATGGTGCTGATTTTGAAGTCCTGTTGCAAACATGGATTTTTAGGAGTGGGACTGATTTAGCGCAACTGCCAGTTAGATAGAAAAAAGCTCCATAGCATTCCTTTGTTCCTGATTTTTAAAACTTGCTGTTGAGAATTGATTTGTCCTTGAAAATAGATAATGCACTGATCTTAAGATATAATGCACTAAACTTAAGATGCATAAGCCTGATAGTACGGAAGCTGAATTTTCAAGGCATCCCATACATGACAACTCAGATGCAAGTCTATTTAGTTCTGTGGCTCTTATTTATTAGATGTCTGAAGATGTAGCTTCAGTCCTATAATTTGCCATTTTGTGACTGAGTTGGAAAAGGACTGAAAATAAATGAGCAAGTGTCATAATGCCATTATATTGTATAAATCCATGGCACATATAAGGCCCTGCATCTCTCTGCTTGGCCTGTCTTAGCATCCTACTAGAGCTGGAAGAGCTCCAGAAAAGGGCAACTAAACATGCCCAAGAAATAATCAAGAGTCTTGCGGTACCTTAAAGAAGAACATATTATAATCCAGCATAAACTTTCGTGGACCCGGTTGACTTCATCAGGTGCAGGAAGGGTTAATCTCAAATTGGTGAATTATGCACACATGCTGTGGAGAGAGAGAAGCACAGTGTGTGGTCTGTTTCCCAGGATGGCCTGGGTGTTGCGAGAGATGGGCATGTGTGGGGCAGATAGACCTCTGCCTGTTTCCTCAGTGCCATGCATAGTTGCATAAGCTTCCATCGTGTCTTCCTTAGGGCACAATCCTGTGCCTGTCAGTACAACTCCCAGCTAGGGATACAGAGCTCAGGCTGGAATCCTGCTCTTTCCCACACTCGGCCCTGACCAGGAAGTGAGCTGAGATCAAGTCTGTGAATGCTCGGGAATGTAGCAGATTCTTCATGCAAAATACATAAGTCATTGTGCAGGACGTGCAAAATATGTGATCCACTGCACAAAGTGTGCAAAGGCTGCAAATCGTGTGCACAAAAGCAGAACTCTGCTTGAATTTGCTTCCTGCTGGACACCCACACAAATGCTTGGCATGAGGCAGACTTAGGGAAGAAAGAGAGCTGGACGGAGCCTGGGGAACCAAGCCCAGAAGATCTGATGGATTCCCACTCCAAAGCCAGATAGCTCACACAACCCTATTCCCAGCATTCCCCAGCCGCCATAGGAAAGACATCCCACCCCACCCTCTTTCCTTCTTGCTGGAAGGAATTTGGATATGAATACAACATTGCTAAAGTGCAATTCATTGAGAGATTTGGCTCTGTTGAGAGAGAAAGGATGATCAAGGGAGACATGATCGGGACTTATTGGACTAGGTGTCAAGATGAGGAAGAGGAGGAGAGCAATTCTCCTATTTAACCGCTGCTGGATCTCTTGTAAACCAGAAGGGAAGCTCAGGGGAGACCAAAAAGCTTTGCGTAACACATAATTCATGTGCCGAATTCTGTGCCACAAGCTGTGGAACACTGGAACGGGGTGGTGGTGGGGTTCTGCTGAATCAGACAGTTGACTTACCCAGCCCAGGAAGCAGCTCTGCTGGACTGTAGGAGGGTGTTTTTCCAGCCCACCTTGGGGACTTCTGTGTGTGCAAATCTTGTGTGCTGCCACGGAACTACAATGATTCTCACTAGGTCAGATTGCTTCAGAAGGGGATTAGACCAGTTTGTGGAGGGTCTGTTGGTGGACATTTGACAGGGCGGCAATATGAAACCTCCAACCATATTGAGTGAACCACTGTATATCAGTTGATGGGGCATGAGAGCAGGAGATGAACTCTTCCTCTGATGTCCTGCTTTTGTGGATTTCCCCATGGTTGGTCACCGTGGGAAGCAGGATGCTGGAGTTGAGAAACTTCACTGACCCAACAGGGATCTTCCTGTAAAAGCTTGCAGGCAAGACAAAAAATGCACATCTCATCAGACATCTCAGTAGTTGGAAGGAAGCTCCGGGAAAGAAGAGCTTTAAGCTACACTAGGCTGATATTTTTTGCTCTGCTTCTGTTGCCGTCAGTCCTAACCATCCCTGGAAGACAGGCCAGGAGAAGTTCTCAAAAATCACAGTCAGCCTCAGGCTGAAAGAGGTCCTGTGCCCTTCCAGTAGCAGATTTGGGCAGTAAAGAAGTGGGAAGGGTATTAGGATGGTGAGAAGATTCAGTTGGAGTGCTGGAACCCCCTCTCCAGATCTCCACCCATCTCTCATTCTTTACAAAGCCCATGGGAACAGTTTTTCTCAGGTGTGAGGAGCTGCAGTGGGAGGGAAGGGTCACCAAGGCTGGCCCATTGGATCTCAGCCACCATCAGAGTACATGGTGCACCACGGAAGGACATGACGGAAAGGAGAGGTGCTAAGTTTGAGCAGGAAAGGAAGCACAGAAGGAGATGGGAGGCGTTTCTTGGATAGAGGTCTTTCAGTAACACACGCATGGCATCCTTTGCCAACCCGATCCCTCTGGGTCCCACCAGCTCTTGCCCACATGATCAGGAATGCTGGAAGTTGTGATCCAAAGCACCTGTGGGGAACTAGGTCGGAGAAGGTTGCCTTAAATCTCCATGACTTTTCTGATGCCTTTGAAACTGGAAGAGTGACCCCTTGGACTGAGGTGCCTGCTTTGGTTCTAACACGGGGCTTGTTTTTCCTCAGGTGAGAAGCCGCAGCCACTCAAGCTCCCCAAGAAAAGGAGCTACGGCAGCGTGTTCCACGGCCACAGCACGACGAGCCAGGAAGAGAGTGACTCGGCGGTGCCCAGCATTGACCCAAAGGAGGACCACAACTACAGCGCCAGCACGGGGGCCTCGCAGCGCTGCCCCTCGCTCTCCAGCGTGTCTTCCCTCTCCTCCATCGATGAGGTGTACGAATTTGTCTCGGAGGCCAGCCGGGCAGGGAGCGACAGCAGCGAAGGGTTCCACAGCGAAGCAGACACAGACGGCGAGGACGACGACGACGACGACCCCCTGGCAGACAGCGGGTACACCTCGCAGCCTTGCGGTGGCAGCTCGGACAAGGCCCCACCTCACCAGAAAGCCCTGGAGGAGCTGTGCCAAGAGATCGACGAGGAACTGAAGGAGGCAGCAGGGTCCCTGCTGCATCTAGCTGGGATCAGCACATGCCTAGGCTCCCTAATAAGTACTGCAAAGAACCATAGCCAGAAACGGAGGAAAAAAAATAACGACGCGGTGTGACAAGATACACCTATAGATAGATATAAATGCATACTTTATTTTTTAGCGTGGCAATACTACTCTACTTTTTACCCTTTGCAAGGGAGATCAAAGCCATAAAGGACTTTTTGTTTGTTTGTTTTTAATTTTTGCAGATTATAGTTTTGCATTTTTTTAAATTAATTACAAGGGTGATGGTTTTTAGGCATTGAACAAGTGATTTAAACTGTGCAAAACAGGTGGGGGAAGAAAACAGAACAACTCTGCCCCCCCATAATATTTTTAGTGAAGTTCAAATATTTGAGATTATTGGTGGGGCGATTAGATTCATGCAGGTACTGTGACCAGTGTCATCTCAAGCTAAATATGGTTTTGTATAGGTGTTTGGGTCAAATGGAACCTGAGGGGCGCATTAGCCTGATGCACACAGGACTCGGTGTGTAAAGGGTAGGTGCTATGGGAAGAAAGCATTGAACGCAGCTTCCCAGAATCATTCTCACGTCCAGGCTGGTTACTAGAGGTTCATGTTGGGCATTGGAACAAGAGCTTGCATGCAAAGCAAAGTCCGGTTTGCACTCCCCGATTCGGAGGATGAAGGCTTGAGTGGCTGTGGTGAATTGGTCTTTGCATGTTTCGGATCTGGGCAAAACTAGAAATCATGTAGCACATAACTAAGATCTGCCTTTCCCTCATTTCTCCATTTGTTTTACTCTAGTGTAAGCATACGTGGCCCCAACTCAGAGCATGACTGCTGTGTTTCGACTTCAGCTCGCCACTCCCAAGTTACTGCTGATTCTTCACCCGGGGCACATGCCTGTGTCTCCTCTGAAGGCTCTTTCTGTATTTTACATCCCCACCCACCTTGGGTGGAAGGCATTTCAGGTGAAAAATGTGTGGGGGAATTAATTCTCCCCTCCCAAAGCACAGTAGTTCCAGAGTCACATTCTTACACTAGAACAAAAAAGGGGATATGTCTCAGCTATGTGATTACCATGACATCTTGTTTGGCTCTCAGCCTGTCAGAGGGAAGAAATTAACCTGGCTGGTCCTAGGAAGTTGCTCTTCTGTTCCAAATCAACTTCCAACATGTGCACACATTGCGTGGGGCTGAGGATGGAGCGGGAAGTGGCCCCAAGCTGCCCCTCTCGGTTGTGCCATACAGGGAGGCCCCAGGTCCGTGCCAAGATCTCTGACATACGGCTGGTTGTGGCTTAGGTTAGCGCTACATGTCCTGATATCAGTCATGGCAAAGAGACAGATTTTCTTCCTTGTTTCCAGCTTTGCTTCCAGTGTTATCTAATGTTCCCATGCAAAAGTCGAAGGTCTGTGATAATCTGAATGCTAAAAAACTGCCAGTGTGGATCAGTGATCGATTGACTGTTACTTGCCATTACAAGGTGTGTTGGGGGAGGAGAAAGGCGACATGTGAACAAGGATATTTTGGGGAGTTTAATCTTGAAGAGTTAATCTTCATTTTCCTCTTCCTAGAATTCCCTTCTGAGTTGTAGCACAGAGAAAGGAGCTGGTTCCTTCTCTTGGTTCTTGTTTTTATTATCTGAATTATGGTGATTAGATTTTAGATCTACAGTGTACCAATTTATTTGCAAACCCAAAGCCCTTCTTGCAGTCTTGAGACCCAAATTAAGGGGAAAAGATTGCGTGGTAAATTGAAAATGGCTCTTGCAGAGAGAACTTTGTGCTTACTTGTTTCCAGTAATGTGTAATGTAAGGGACATATACTTTCCTTTTTAGGTTAAGGTAGTTGATGCTGGCCTAGTTCTCAGTAAGGTGTAATACCTTTTCCAGGCTCTCTCATTTCCTGTTGCAGGTGAATGCTCACATGGCTGAATGCTTTTGAGAGGTTGGGGTTTGGGGAACATCTGTGGAAATCTAGATGGCAGAAGTGGCACCTTGTTCCTTGTAGGAAATGTTGCTTTATGGTCAAACATTCTGTCCGTGCACTTGAAGTGGTACTGTGCAGCTGGGTGCACTGCCTGAGCGAGAACTAGGCTCTTTGGATGCATTCCTATGTCACCTTGAAGACTCAGCTGTTCTTTTGTTTTTCCACTGCTTGCTTCAATATTGCACTGTATTCATTCAATATTCTTTGTAAAGCCAGTATACAACATACGACCTGAAAAGCAGCACCATTTAGATACTCACATATAACTCTCTCTCTCATGCACACACATACACAAACGCACAACTTAAGACACTGAAAGAAGCTTCAAAATCAAGTCCTGTCCACTCCTAGCAGCCTCCATCTTTCTCAGGTGGGAGTGGCACTTGAGTGATGTTTCTAGTTTCACCACAGAACGTAAATGCAGCCAAAATGATTCCTTCCTCTTCATCCATTATTTCAGCAATAATACAACCTCCCTTGCCAGTTTCTGGAAGGCTCAAGAGCTCTGCAGAAGCTGCGCCATGACTCTGGGCAACAGTGCTTAGAAAACATCAACATGGGCCATCTGGAAAGCGCACCAGTCGCTGTGAAAAGCCATCTGTGTGGCCTGATTCCCAGTGTGGCCACCAGAGCTTCCCATCTTTGTGCCCACAACTCCTTCGACATGATAGTGGTGTTACCTCATGCAGGATTCTCTCAGGAAACAGCTGTATATTTGGGCACTCTTGTGCATCATAAGGCACCCCTCCGTTTTTCTGAGGGGGCAGCCAAGTCTGTTCTGTGCCCTTACGCAGTTACATGCGGGAGAGAGATCTGCCTGCAAGACAGCTAGCCTGCAGTTCAAAGCCAGCCGCACTGGTCATGCAAATCCTTCGCTTGATCCTGCCCATTGTGTTGGCTAGTTCTGGCGACCTGTGTGGATCCTGGGGGTTAGAAGGACCGCACCACTAACACAAGATAAATGGCCGGTGAGAAGAGGCCGCAGTTGGACTCACTAGCTTAGCCGTTCCCAATGGGCAGCCAGCAGGCCTGCTGGACTACAGCTCCCAGCATCCCCATTCAGCTGCTAGCTCCAGTCTGTTGGAAACAGCTGTGAGAGCCTAGCTGAAACAGTCTGTCCGAGAAGCAGCCCACTGCATTCTTGCACAATTCCTGTTCTTTCCAGTGGATATTGGCACAGGGAGTGTTCCCATGCGGCGGGTTGGAGGCCGCCGTGGCCTGTAGTTCTAAGAACGCCTGGAACTTTGCGAAATGATCAAAGCATAAGCATCGCTTATCCTGCCTGAGCTTGACATGCCGTTTAATCCTAATGTTTATTTCCTGTGCTTCTAACTGTGTGCAAGAGAGCACGGTCAGAGGTGGCCCTGTTACGCAAATCTGCCCGTCGGGAGGTGGGTAGGGTAGGACCGCTCTAAAGTGTAGAGAACGAAGTCCAGGATTTGCAGAGCAGAATGAAGCCGGATTTCTCCTAACAGTGCAGAGCTTCCCTGTTGCTGCTGCTGTTTTAGTATCCATACAGTTAAGTGGTCAGGGCTTTGATTTCACTGCCTTTTCATGAACACCACCTCCTTATATCCAGTGTAAGTTCTGCCACCGTGGTCATTCTTGTAGTGCAGGGAGCCATCTGTGCCAAAATTTTCACTCAGATGGGTGCTTTTACCAAGCCACAGTTGGCCACTGAAATTTGACAGTGTGCTGGCACAGCATTAAAACTGGTCCAGTTTTAAAGAAAGCACCGCCAGTGTTTGAAATTCAACACAGCAGTCAGCAGTGCTGCCCATGCTGTGTTTGGAGTAAGCAGAATTGGTCCCTGGACCTCAAGAGGTTCTCCCGCATGGTGTATCCCTGTCGCCAACATCCAGTGCCTCAGCCAGGATCCTGGGAACCCAGCCAGCTGTTTCTTCCAGCCAGCTCTGGAACAAGAGCAAGCCAGTCGCTCATGGTTTGCTGGACTTCAAATGCCACCTGTTGCATAGTATCAGCAGGGTTTTTCCCAATGTAGGCCTTATGTTTGCAAGGATCCAAGTAGCTTTCTTTCAGTATTTTGGAGGAAATATTTTGTTAAAATGATAGCAAACTGTAAATGGCTCTGCCTTATAATCACATGGTTAGTTTCTAGACCCCCCCCCCCAAAAACCCCTTTAATGCATGGATGTTTGCATGCTCACTTGTTCATACACAAATTTCTCCAATGTATGCCCATATGGTGCTCGTTCTATATGCCGCTAGTTTCTCCGCTTCATCCCAGAGGCGGCTGCTTAGAGCAATTTTCTGCAGTGGTTTTCCTTTCAGGTATTTAGCTACAAATCAGGATGAGAAGGATTTATGTATCTGCCTACTTTCATGCCATACATGATATTTTTTATTATCTCTTTTTAAGATTTCTGCATTAATTACTCTTGAAAAGCCTGTTTTAAAGTTTCACCGAACAGGTATAAAAATCAGGCAAAAGCCAGAACTGAAAAGTAGGTTCAAATGTATAATAAATAGATTTTTATCTGCTTTCAAAAGCTACATAATAAGAGCTTTGGGAACATAATGCTCTACTGTAGTAGTGCTACTACCAAAACTTTCCCCTGCTCAGAGTATTAGAGATCTCACTTCCATGAAACAGGGAATCCCAAAGAGTCCCACTCACTGAGTTTGGGACAGTTTATATAGAGGAACCTTTCCTGCAGAGGTGCTTTTCGGGGCTCTTTACCCATTGGGTCGCATGCAGCTGTACCTAGCAGTGATAATGTTGTGCTAGAGTAATCCAACACTTGCATAATCTAAGCAGAGCTTGTTACAGCTATAGGGAAAATTGGCCAATCTCTGCCTCTTCCCACTGCCATACTACACTCTAGTTGCATGATGCCTCCATGGGTTTCTGCTGATGCAGCATATTTGGCACTGGGGTGGAACCGAGTACCAGTACTGGACTTCCAAGCATATTTATCTCTTTTTTATTAATTGTATCGACCTTTTCAGCTGAAAGGTAATTTAAAATGAATACTGGCAAAAAAACAAAACTTTCAACAGCTCAGTATTCAGTTTGCATCACTGGGTAGAACTGATTTGCAAAATATTCTGCTTAATAAAGGGTACTGAAGGTGAAGATTTGACGAAATGCTGAGAAAGAAGAAGGCAGGTGTATATGTTTATGTCTGAACCTGTGAATGGCTGTAGTTTGTATATCCTTCCCATGTTGTAGTTTTTGCCACAAGTGTGACTTGTGAGCCCATTCCCGTGAATGGGCAACTGTGTACTGTGTGGTCCTGAGCGTCTGCAGCATGGGAATTTGATGTGAATTCACCATACACAAATGGACAAATCTGTGTATATTAGGTGCAAATGCACACAAGTCCTGTATATTGTGTTGCTGATCGGAGGAGTCCGTCCCCTTCCACATTTGTCCAAAATTATGTGCTTTAATAACTTACGTGCTGTGAAATTTGTTTTTGTAGCAATGTAGATGACAGGGCTGTCTGATCAAGAAAAATGTTTCTTTTGGCCTTGCTTGTCTTTTGAAAGTCAACAAGAATTACATTATGTTCTGGCTAAAACTGGCCACACTTTTAAAAAAGTGAGACTATTTTTCCCAAGAACGGCTTTGCTCTGTCTTGTCCTCCTGCTTTTAAGATAGAACTTTGAATGGGCCAGATGTAGGACAGCAAGACTCAACAAAGGATATGGCCTGCTCCGAGTTCCATCTGCCATCTCTCTTCCTTTTTCTCCATCAGAAATCGGTGTGTGCATGATGGTCCCTTGTGTCCCCTCTATTATGGAAGTGTCTAGTGTCCGCTTTATGCTTGAAAATGTGCAGTGCTCACTGGCACGAAAAGTGCTTAATATGTTTGTTTTAATTGTCCATGTTCGAAGGCAGAGCAATAAAAGTGTTAGATGGCGCAGCTCAATGGGCTGCAGTGGGAGCAGAGGAAGAATTCTGGCCTCTAACGCTTGCTCTGAGCTGTACGTTACACGGAATAGGGACGTGGAACTCTGGATGGTACACTTCCAGCTGCTGGTGGGAAGTAATCTTTTTGCTTACGCCCTCCTCCTGCATGTAGTAAATCAAAGAGAGGTTTCACATAACTGTTTCCTGGATATGTTACTTTAGTATGTTTACTATGTGCATGGAACTTTTTGTGGTGGAGAGTGTTCGAAAACATGTCCCATGTGCCCCTGCGTTTTTGCAATGCTTCTTTCCAGAGTTTTACATGCTGTATAATGTTTAAAGCAACTTGGAGACTGGAGAGCAAAGTGTGAAGGGTTGATTTCCTTCCCAGATGCACTGGGGGAAGGCACAAGCCATGGAACTGCCACATCGAAGTCCCTGGGGTGGCTGGAAGGCAGTTCTCTGTACCATTTCTTCACTGGTTTTGCATGGGAATTAGACCACGGGGAACCCTGCCCTCTGCTGTAGTCCATGTTGGGTGTAGGATATGGGGAACAGATGTGTTCTTCACCATCATTGGCTATCTGTGCCTTCCGGTGGCCAGACTACACCGAATCCTGTTCTAGGATTTAGAATAGCTCTCCCCAGCTGGCACACTCCAGATGTCTTGGACTGCAGCTCCCATTATCCCCAGCCATTTGGCTGGCTGTTGTAGTCCAGCTCATTTGGAGAGCACCAGGTAGCGGAAGGATGATGCTGAGAAATGCTTCTCGAACCCAGCACTTCCCCATCCCCAAGGCCAAGGTGACATCCTTGCTTTCTTTGTGTCTGGCTAGCTCTGGTGCATTGGGAGACACCCAGGTGATGCTGGTGCTTTGAATGAGGACAGGCATTCACTGCACATCTGCCTCCCCACCACACTCTGGGAGCGCCACCATTTGTTGCTCCCCTCAAAGTGGAATGACCAGGAGGCATTTTGAAGGGCTAGAGAAACATTAGGGGGCAGACCGTGTATCCGGGTCTTTTGCAGGCACTGCAGGCAGTCTTAGCAAGCCTTAGCACCACATCAAGAGATTGCCTTATAAACGCACCTTGACTTTTCCATTGTCCAAAAGTCACAGTGACTTTTCCATTGTTCAGTAGTGCTTCTCTGCTACAAAATGGTCTCTCCTTCCACTTTGCGTCTTGGCCTTTTCCTTCCAGGGAAAACTGCTAACTGTACAGTGTATTTGCATTTAGTTTTGCAGGCATAGCTGAGGCCCTGGGATACAGCTTGAGTAATGATCCTTTCGTTGTCTGAGCCAGCCTACTTCAGCCTGGAGCCTGCAGATGTATTGCCTAGGGGATTATAGGAATTCTCGTCTAACATATCTGTAGGTTGTCATGTTTGGGAAATCTAGTGTACACCACATGCACTTTCTAGCTCAATTCCTAAATTGCAGATTGTGTCTTCAGAAAAAAATACATGGTACAGTCCTTCTTGGCCTCCACTGCTTTAGAGTGCTATGAAGGGAGGATGTTGAGTGATTGAATGATTCTTTCATCTAGAAAACAAGTCTGTCAAGGAGAAGGCTAAATTAAAAACCCTTCTCCCTGATTTGTTAGCTTTCTATCTACAGGGAGATTGTCTGTGGAGACTTCAGTCATGTCTTCTTCCTTTATAGCCTATATAGTATAGTACTTTCTGACCATATAGCTCAGTTCTTAGTTAACCCTGTTCTTTGCTCATACTGGAGAAGAGGAAAGTCCAGATGATTTAGCCTCATCGTATGGCCAGGCGAAAAAGATAAACAGACTATATCTTGCTTTTGTGCAACCACCAAGACAGGTGTATTTGGTGGTTGATGCCAAACACTGGAAAAGGATACAGTCCAGTGCATGTTTAGACAGAAAAAATCCCCACAAATATCACTAACTTATAAGGCTTTTTCCTGTCCAAACATGCACAGGATGGTACCCTACAACTTTTTAGAGGAGGCTGCCATTGGGAGCAGGAAAGTTCCACTGTTGTGACAGCCAGTCAGCTTGTGACTCATTTTGCCACTTTTCAGTGAATGCCTAAGTTGGGCTTGTTATGTTGTTGGCGTCTCTGTGCCAGTTGCTTCTCACTTGTTCTGGGATATCTTGCACTCGTCTGCCCCCGAGCCACATCACTGGATGCCATTGGTAGGAAAATGTGTGTGACATCATGATGATGCAAGAAATTATCCAGTGCATCATAGAAGGAAGAAATGGCATAGTGTATTTGAGCATAAGGCAAAGCTTTGCCTTTTATGCAATTCTGAAGGTTTGGTTTTTGTTTTTAATGTTTATGAGTGAGTTTAGACCATGACATCAGTTTATCAGCATACAGAAGAGAGGGGAAAGATTAAAGGAGTCCTACCCAGATCCCAGAATTAACTTGAAAAGATTTATGAGAGAGGCCTGCCCATTCTTGAAATAACTACTGATGTTAGTGCCATGCAAATCTTTCCTTCCTTCCTTCTTCATATCCCAGTGCTAAATTATAGCTTCCATGAGAATTGCAGGCAGTCCTTTTTAGAAAATTCCAACTTTGAACATGTATGGTTTTGCAGCTTCTTTGTTTGGCTAATGCAAAAGCATACCCCGCCAGGCTAATAATGGGGTAGTCAAAATATTTATTGAAAAAGAAGAGTATAGTATTTTTAAAATATCGTACCTGCCATTTATTTGGGAAAAAGCACATTCTCCATAACTTAACTGCCAGTGCCAATAAAATGTCAGTCTTTAGAAATGTACATTTTTTTCCCTCCGACTTAAAGTGCATAATTTAAAAGTATTATGTTGCCATCTTATAGTGATATGAAACCATTTTCAATTGCCAATTCATTGTAACTATTATTTATTTAAAAAGTGGAAATTGTAAGAATGCTTTTGGATCAAAGTAACCAGAGTTCATTCCCATTAGCTTCTTGTTGCCCCTCATCCCACCCTAACATAGCATAAGAAAGCTCTTTGGATTTACTTAGAATAACTCTGCCAGTAGATGAAGGCCATTCTAACCCATTATTCCCCAAGCCCAGTTAAGTAGTTTACCTGGTTTAAAGACAATTTTACAGATATTTTAGTTTTTGTATGCTAACCTCTATTAATTAAAATGTTTATGGAGTTTATTTTTACCAAAGAGATGCAATTCATTATGATAAAGTATTTCAAAATAAACTTTGTTTTATAACACTCTTGAGTTATGAATGTGTTTGATTTTTTAAAATAGATATAATTACACATCTCTGTTTTTCACACACCCATTCTTGTAATTTCAGTGCAGTTACTCTGCATGTTTAACACAATACCCTTCCTAGCTGCTAGTGTTGACTTGGTGAGCCACTTGGAAGTTGCGATGTGGAGTGCTTGTCCAGGTGGCACATTGCCTGAGAAAAGTCTTTCCTGTCTCAAAGAAGCAGGACCGGAGGCCCTGTTAGTCAGATCCAGCCTGCGTGGGGTTCCAGTCCAGCCCTTGGATGATCCAGCTGCTCTTGGCATGGTGCTGATTCTATGATCACTTTAGCCCCAGATAAAGCCCACCTGCCCAATGGGAAATCTCCAGAAACCTTTTGCTAGGCCAGTGCTCCTGGCGCCTTCCTAGGTATTGGACTCACAAAGCCCACTTTCCCTAGCCAGTACGGGGATAATGAGAGCTATAGTTTGACACACTGGGAGGGCAGAAAGGCAGAAGGTGAGGAAGTCCGTGCTCAGCTGTCAGACCCTAAAGTCCAGAGGAAGCAAGCATAAACTCTTCTTTCAGAGCAGAGCCGATTGTTAATCTAGTTTTGTGGTACTGTATGTAGCATGACTAGTAAACTAGTCACAGAGGACTGTGAACAGAGAACTGTTTGGATCCTGTTAATGGAGATCTTTGTAATGGAAATGTCAAAGGCCGACATGGAAACCTGCATGTAAAGCATGTACCCTACCCTTAAGTCACTTGGAAGATCCACTAATGATTGAGTCATATTTACATTTCTATAGAGAAATGCAAAAGCTGATAGCTTGCCCAATGCTCACCTCTATTGTAGCAAGTTGCTAGTGTGGGGTTCAAGAAATAGTGGGGGAAGATGCCACAGACTTCTTGCATCCACCTGACCTCCACTGTGTGCCGGAGGAGACTCGGGATGAACTTGCACAGCCAACCTGGTGTGTTGAAAATGTAGGTTTGTGCAACATTCAACATGTTGGTGTGCTTTGCAATTTGCTCATCTACCTCAGCTCAACTACCTTAAACTGTATTCTCCAATTCAACTCAATGAAAAGTTTCTGTGTGCCACTTTCATTTGTGCAAATTAGTTTTCAGGGAATAGAATGCTGGCTTAGTTGTGGAGAGACCCTAAATAAGGATTGACGAAGGTTTTGCAAAAAGTTCTCATATGCGCATTCAGAAAGACAGCTACGGCTTAGGAAATTTAAGGAATTTAATGCGGGGGAGGGGTATAATCCAATAACTCGTTTGTAGTGCATTCCCATGCTTTTACTGATACCTAGACCAGCCTTTCCCAAGTGGGTGCCTTCCAGATATTTTGGACTAAAACTGCGATAGAATCAGGCCATTGGTTCTGCTGGCTTGAGCTAATGGGAGCTCTAGTCCAGACCATCTGAAAGGCACCAGGTTGGGGAACTGATGCCACAGCCGCATTCTGGAGGTAGGTACTCCTAGGGTTGAATCAATTCACTGGAAACCCTACAGATTGCTCTAATGCAAGAATAAAGCCCCATTGAGTTGAATGGTATTATGCATTGGACTACAGCCTTCCAACCTCCATCTAGAAGAGTCCTCATAGTCTGGACCAAACCTACGATCTAGTAAAGGCAACCCTCCCTCATTAAATACCACCTGCACACCCAACCAACCCAATTAGGAAAGCATGGGCATTCCTCCCCTGCTTCTCTTCCTGGACACTTTGACTAAGATAAGTTGGTTTCAGCAGCAACGAGAGAGATCCTGTTGGAGGAACTGCACTTTAGGAATTCACAGCCTCTACAAGACCACTGGGGCGGGGGTTGGAGTCCTTCCACTCCAGGAATATGGGAATTTCCATTGGGATTGATTTCAAAAGTAGTGGCATGAGATGCTATCTTTGTAACAATCTGGAGCTCTTATCAAGTAGCATGATGTCATCTCCACCCAATCATAACCTGCTTTCTGTGTGCAGAAGGTTGACTCTCGGGGGAAGTATCCAGTGAATGCCAGTAGCATCCCATGCAGTGGTCGCTAGGCAACCGAGTCAGCTTTCTTTCAGCAAGACCTAATTTTAAAGGGTTTAACTCTAGGAAAGCCAGGATTCGCTGAGCCTAGCGTGCCTCCTTGTCTCTGTTTGCAGACATTCCGATTTTTAAATTGTATTTTAAAGAATGGTTTGGGGAGGATTAGGAATAGTCTCTCAGTATTAAATATTGTACATTACAAAAATGTTAACTATTACAGACGGGAGAGATCATTGCATGGGACCCCTTTTGACTGACGAGGGATCAAAATGCTTTGACTAAATAAAGAATATGGAAAAATATTGCTGCTTTTTAGAGCATCCGTGTCAGGGAAGACTCGGCTGCTACGTGTCAAGGGCAGGGCCACATTTGTCCAGACTAGATATGTCCTGAAAAGCAGAGCTTTACTTCTCCCAGATGCAGCGAAAGGCAGCTGGGCTTTTTGAGATCCAGGGTAGAGTAGTTGTCAGAACGCTGGGCTGGGATCTGGGAGGTCTATTCACTAGGTCCCTTTGAGCCTGCCATAGATTCTCAGCTTAACCGACCTCACAGGACAAGATAGCGAGGAACCAGAAGATTATGCAAGCCACCTTGATTTCCTTGGGGGAAAACAAGTCGGATATAAATTTAATAAATAAATGCTTGTACTCAGTCTAGTAAAGCGCTATACTTGCAAATGCCACTGGTACGTAGGCTAAAGCCACTCCCAGCTGCTGTGAACAAAGGGCAGAGTTTGCTGGATACTGGCAGGAGCCTGTGCAGCTAGCCAGCCTCCCATCCTTAAAAGAATTTGTGCATGGGTCTGGATTTCCAGGCCTCTGGGTCTGGAAATCTCCATTTTCCATATCATGCAGTGCCCTGGAATAGCACTCTGAAAGAGGCATTATGTGGGGAAATAGCCAAATAGGTCTGCCAGGGTCCAGGGCCTAGACCAGGGCTGCCAAGGGTAATTCAGCCTTCCGCAAACCTGGCTCCAGCTCCAGGTTTTGCCTCGCACCATCCACCCTGTTGAATGAAACCCATTTCAGCCAAATGAGACTCAGATTCCAGTGATGGAGGGCCATGAAGGAGACTAAACCAGTTCCTGGGCCTGCACAAGTGGGGCTTTCCAGCCTGGATACTGTACGATGCCCTCGGACCCTTAGGAGTGGACCTTGGCTCCCCCAGTGAGTAGGCAGGCCCCAGTCAACAGCCAGAAAGGCTCTCTGTAAAACCGAGTCAGTTGCTCAAAATGCTGGGGCAACCTGTCTTAGGAAGCTGCAGGAGGGCTCTCCGTGGTGCTGAATCTCAGCCCAGGGCCAGCAACTACAGCTCCACTGGATTTCTGAGCCTGCAGGAGTTACTGGAGTTACTGGCTCATGGAGACAAGGGGGGCCACAACGGATCACAAAAGTGTACCTCACAGCTGTGACCTCTAATCAGGATGGCTGCCATTGAATGAGAATTCAGTTCTCCCTCAAAGGAATTACAGTGAGTTCACAAATGCAGATTCTCTCTCTCTCTCACACACACCCTATTCTATTTATTTGCTTTTTTCTTTAAGGGATGTGTAACCTGCCTTTCAGGATGCACCACCCCATGAGGTAGCTCAGGATATTACAAAGACATGAATGTGCAAGTACACCCACCCACCTGCTGCAGCAGCTAAGAAGTTTAAAGCAGCAAATGCAGTCTAGAACAAATATTTACAGGGTTTCTGTTTTTGTTTTGTTTACCCCACAAGAGATGAGGCCATACATGTGTTTTTAACCTACTACCTGTGCAGAGTGACTCCAGGAGAGTCACACAAGACTTGGCAAAATGCATGGGGAATGAATTAACACACTGAAAGTAATGATGGAATCCAGAAGCTAATCACCCACAAATTGAACTGGAGGGATTATAAAAGACATCACACTGAGGCTGGTGCGGTGTAGCGGTCAAAAATGTGGGACTGGGACTCAGGAGATCTGGGTTCTAATCCCCACTCAGCTGGAGGTCACTGAGTGACTTTGGGTCAGCCACAGACTCCCAGCCCAGCCAACTTCACAGGGTTGTTGTTGTGGGGATAAGATTGAATTATGGAAGCCATCTTGAGTTCTTTATGAGAATTATGGAAGCCATCTTGAGTTCCGTGGAAAGAAAACAGGTGGGAAATAAATTATAATTAAATAAATAAAAGACGAACAACTTCTATTATCATTAGAATTGTTTTGACTACAACATTGACTCTGTGAGGTGCATTTTACAGGTAAAGTTGGTTTAAAATAGGCCCAGGCGAGACCAGCAGAGCAGGGAATATAGCTGCATTATACCAGTTCCTGCCGTGGCGATGTTTTATGGATTGCAGTTGTAACCAACACACTCCTACATGCTTCATATGCTTCCTCTCCTCCTCTCTTTCTTGTTACTAGGCCTGGTTTTATAAGCACACAACAAATAGGCTTGGAGAAATTTAAAAAGCACAGCCCTATAAGAAAGATTTGCCAGAACTGCAATGGGAAGGCACATACATGTTGCTGTTGCCATGAAAACAGAAACCAAGCAGCCATTCAGAGCATCAGCATCTGTGGACCTGCTTGGGGCTAAAGCTGGTGACTTCTGATGACTCATAATGGATTTCCCATCCTGCCTCCCAGTTCACAGGAAACAACCTGCTATGAAATATTTCCAGAACATGACTGGGCAAGAGGAGGGAACTTCTGCACAGGATACATCACCCTGTAGGGTTATGACGTGGTGGGATGGGTGGATATGAACTCAGGGGGCTTTTAAAAAGAGTTGGACAAATCCATGCAGACTGCGCCATCTCTGCCTGCTTTCTCCAACTGGGTGCCCTTGAGGGGGTTTGGACGATGGCATGGCTAGGGGTCCCCCAACCGGGAGGATGGAGCTACAGTTCGACACATCTGGATGGTACTGTGTTTAGGGAGGCTAACAGAGGCTGTGTGCTACTGAATGGCGGGTGCTGAAGGAAGACTCACAGGCAGGGAGGCAAA